GTGGTTTACTCACTTTTAGCACCGGACAAAAGAATAAAAATATGAAAAAGAAAAAATATATTACCCCGTTAGTCGTTGCACTAATTTTCTTGCTTTTAGTAAGTGGCGGGATAGTTTTTTTTGTTCACCAGCAAAATAAAAAAAAGGCCGAAATTAAAGCAAAAAATTTAGCAGTAGAAAAAAGCCGAGAAACTTTAAAAACCGAAATCGCCCAACTAAATAAGCAAGAAAAAGAATTAAAAGAACAATTTGCTAACTGTCAAAGCCTTTGCGAAAAGAAATTAAGCAAAGAAAAATTAACTTCATTACAAAAAACGCTTTTTGATAAAAAGGAGCGTTTGAAAAACTTGGCTCCTGCCTCCGCTGCTAGCACCTTAAAAGACAAAAAAAACTTAGATAAAAAACAATTGGCTAATTCATTAAAAAAGGAATTAAAGCAGCAGTTAGAAGAATTGGAAAATGGCACCGGCGAAGAGGATGATATTGATATTCAGAATAATCCACTTTTTAAATATTATTTTGCTCGTCGCTATTTGGAGAAAAAAGATTGTCAAGAAATAGAAGTTTTAATCGGGCAAGTTCAAAAACTACAAAAAGAAAAAAAAGAGCAAGCTAGCCTAGAAACCGAACAAAAATTAGTAAATAATCCTAAATTATTTGAATATTATTTAGGAATGTCAACTGAACGCAATGGCGGCTGGCAAAGTTATCGTTCTTTTTACAGAAAGCATAAAGGTTGAGAATATAAAGTTTATGTTCCGGATAACCATCCGGCTCTAAATAATGTGCTTTTTAATGATAGTTGAGGCACTAATGCTGAAATTGGCAACTTTTACCTAATTGAAGGAATTGAGGAACCCACTGAATTTAAATATTGAAATGTAAGAGAGCAAAAAATGGAAACTATTCCCGAAGCGGAAGCCGCCCAAACCGTTCAAGAAGGGAAGGAAATATTTTACGAAAAATTTATTAGTTTAAAAGACGAAATTATAATTAATTATTTTCAAGAAGGAGAAAGGGATTAATTTAAATGACTTTTTTTGCTTTTGGCAATCATACTGTTTACAGTTTATTAAATTCTCCTTATTTTCAATTGAAAAAAATTTTACTTTTGGCGGAAAAATACCAAAATGATAAACCACTACTTCAACTAATAGAAAAAAAAAATATTTCTTATCAACTTTTAAATAAAAATGATTTTTCTCGTTATAGTTTTGATAAAAAAAATCAGGGCATTGTGGCTTTTATTAAAGAATATAGTTATGTTTCGCTTAATTTTTTGCTGAAACAAAAACCAAACCACCAGTTTCCTTTACTAATTATGCTTGATGGCATTGAAGACCCCCACAATTTTGGGGCAATTTTACGTACTAGCGCAGCTTTAAAAGTAGACGGAGTGATTATTGCTACCAAAAATCAAGTGCCGGTAAACAGCACGGTAATTAAAGTTTCCGTGGGTGGTGCCGCTCATGTTCCAGTTTGCCAGACTGATAATCTGCTCGCTGCCCTTAACGAGTTAAAAAAATCCAACTATCAAATTATTTCCGCTGTTTGTCACTCCCAAGCCCAAAGTTATAAGCAATTGACCCTCAAGGCTCCTACTTGCCTGGTTTTTGGTAATGAACACCAAGGAATTAAGCAAAAAATTATTCAAAAAAGTGACCAAAGTATTTATATCCCCATGAGTAAGCAAATTAGTTCTTTAAATGTTTCGGTAAGTTGCGGAATTATTTTGTCCCAAATTATTTAGCCTTTAATAGTCTCTTTTTTTGTAGTTTTTCGTTATTTTTTGATGCTTGCTATTTTGCTTACTCTTTGTTGATTGAATTCGTTTTTTTGTAAGTAAATAGTTAATAATTCTTCGTCATTTTTAATTTCAACTTTTTGGCAACAGTGCTGAAAAATTTTTCACCATTCCCGATAAGTTTTTAATTGGACAGGGGTAAGTTTAACCTGATACGGATATAACTCAGCTTTCTCTACCAAGGCCAAATGATAGGTTTTAGCAAAAAAATCCATTAATAAATCGTTCATGACTTCGTTCTTTTTTAACTGACCTAAATCATTAAATTCAGTTTTTGGAAAAGGAATAGAAGCAACAGTTAGAAAATCAATTTGATAAAGGTTGACTAAACCCAAGAAAAAGCATAAGCAGTCAATTAACTCCTCTTTAACTTTGTTCTCCTCAACCTTGGCCTTTTTAGCCCAAATTTTAAAACTTCTTAATTCATTGGCAAATTCGCCAATTTCTACCAAAATATTCAATTTTAATCTTTTAGCATTAACCAAGGAACATCATTCTCAACTGATATTTTTTTTGGCTTGTTGATAAATGGCTTGGTCAAGTTCCCTTTGTTTTGTTTGTATTATGGCTCAAATGTTTGAGGATATCATAAATAGTTTTTAGTCCTTATTATATTTACTTAGTCGCCTTAGAACCACGAGTATGCGGAACTTTATTAAGGTAACGAGCAACAGTGCCCAGTAAGGCAACAGTGATTAATACTCCCCCGCCAATTGCTCAAGGCAGTAAAGGCTTCTTAGGTAGAGATTTTATAGCAACCGAATTTAAGGCTTGTAACTTTTGTTGGCGGGCTCGGGCAGTAACTTGCTCTACATGTTGGGCGACGGCTTGGCTAGTAGTTAGTTTTTCTAACTCTTGGGAATCATAACTCCAGTTAGTTAAACCTTGTTGGCTAACGTACTGCTCAATAGTTTGCTGGGCAATTTGTCGAGCTTGGGCCAGTTGTTCATCGGGGATTTTTTTAATTAATTCCACTTTTAAGTTAACGGTTAGTTGGCTAATTTTTTCTTTAAGTTGTTTTTGTTCCTCTTTGTCCTCTTTGTCCTCTTTGTCCTCTTTGTCCTCTTTGTCCTCTTTGTCCTCTTTGTCCTCTTTGTCCTCTTTGTCCATTTCGTGGGCAATATTTTCTAATTGTTGTAAAGTTTCTTCAATTTCTTCGCGGGAAATCTCCTCGCTAGGTTTTTCGGATATTTGCTCAATTTTTTCTTCTACTTCGTTAAGTTTTTGCTCTGGAGTGGAAGCTGAAGGAGAAGTTACTACCGGTTTAGGTGCCGAAGGGGTTGACGAACTAGATGATGGTCGCGGTTCCGAAGCTGGAGAAGAAGTAGTAGGAGATGAACTACCTCCTCCACCTCCGGAATAGCCTCCGCCTCCCCCACTGCTTACTGAGCCGCCGCCGGAATAGCCTCCACCACCGCCCGAACCACCGGGACTGCTGACCGGGGAAGTAGGAGAAGTGCTTGGACCGGAATCACCGGAATTGCTTCCACTAGGACTGGAACTGCTAGGACCACTAGGAGTGAAAGTGAAAACCGGATTAGCCTCCGGAGTGGTTGTAGTTGCGGTAGCTGTATTTGGAGTACGCTGAGGAGTGCCTCCCCCACCACCGCCTCCGGTTGTTTGTTGTGGTTGCTGAGGATTGCCGCCTTCGTCCCCTTCTGGTTCTTGTGTATTTAATCATATTGCATAAAGATGAGGGTCGTCATTGAACCTTATTCTTGCTTCTGTTCGTACTCTTTGTAAAATTTCGCGATTCCGTAAATTGTTACCACCTAACAAATGAAGCATGATATATCAACCTTTTTCTTTCAGCTTGCTTGTTAAATCTTGGCTTTTTCAACCAGCCGGTAAATTATTGTAGTCTGGGTGATTAGCCACTTCTTCTATTTTTTGCTCAATATTTGGTCTGCCCGCCCCAGTGCTATATAGCGTTGCTAAACCATCATAATCCGGAGTATCAACTATGGTCAAAGGGACTGCTTCAATAATTTCCGTGGTCTCAATGACTTTTTCCAAAAGTTTAAAATCTACTAAGGTCGGGTCAAGGCGGAGAATAGTTTCCGCTGGGTTGATATTATAACTTCAATTTTTATTTTCGTGAAATCTAATTTTTGGCTCTAAAATATGAACTCAATTTTTTTGGTTTCTGGCTATATTCGCTTCCTCCGGCGTTAGTTTACTTTCTATTCAGCGTATTTTTTGAGCCTCATTATTAACTCTAATTCCTTCATTGTCCGGAGTATTAAAGAACCTAATCCAACTTTCTCTTTGTGCTGCATCCAGGCTTCGTCCGGCTGGAAAACTATTAAAGAAGTTATTTAAAGCCACTGTTAGAGTGTTATCCCCCTGGCGTCCGCCGCGATTTATCTCTTCAATTGCGGTATTGAATTTTCCAATTATCCCGTTTTTTTCCCGGATTAAAGTCTCTCTTATTCCGCTGGCCGTTTGAATTGCTTCCGCAATTCCTCCGTCTCCGGGACTTACTACTCGCGTATTTGCCGCACTAATAATCGCATCCACTTCTCCACTAAAATCTTTAATGTTATCAAATCGCCTCAATTCAATTTTATTATGTTTAGTTTTGGCTTCCTTTACTGCCTCAACAAAATAATCATTAAGATTTTTGCCTCCTATTTTTTTACTTTCTCCATTTCAAGCCACAAAATAAAGGGTAACCTCATAATTATCCTTTATACTTTGTTGAATAGCACTATTTACTACTACCCGGGCTAATTTTGCCCGGTCGCTATTTCCGCCAAAAATCGCTGAGCCTAGGAAAGGAACGGCTAATCGGCGATATCCACCCCGTTTAGCCAAAATTAAAGCATTTTTTACGGCCAAACTTACTTCTTGGAAAAATTTTTCTTCCTGGTTTCCATTATCGGTCCAAGACCCCGGAGCCGCGTGAATAATAGCCTGGGTGGAATAAACACCAGTATTTAAATTACCCGCTCCTGTCTTTAAAGTTGCCCCACGCGGAATACTTCCTGCCCGAACCACTTTATTTTCTGTTCCGACGGAGGAAATAGGAATAGGGTCGCCTGGTGTGCGATATTCTGGTTCATTATCCGAGGCAGTCAAGGGTCTACAATACTTAGCAATTAATTCCCGAAGTTCTTTTCCTTCTTCGCTTTCCGGTTCTAGTGCCTCAATGATTTCTGCTTTTTGATTATATATTTTCAGTTCACCCTCGCTATTATGGATATCCATGTATTTTTGAATATCGGCAAGGTTTTTTTGCCCTTCGCGGACTTGTTTAATCAAGTAATCAATAGTGATTTCACTTAAAGGAGCTCAAAGGTTATTACTAATTTCTTTTTGTTTTATTTCGCTTATATCATCAGCAAAAGAATTTAAATAATCTTCTCATTTTCTTAGCCCATTTCAATATTTTTGTTTACCGAGATTATTGAATGCTTTTTTAATTCCTTTATAATGCTTAAAATGGCTTTTAATTCTTTCTTTTAAACTATTTTTTTGGGTTGCTCAATTATTAATTGCTGAATCTTTATCAGTTTCGTTGGTTTTAAGCGGATTTATTTTGGCTCCCTTATAAGTAACTAGACCAGTATTTTCGGGGTCATTGTAATCTTTGGCTGATACATCCGCTGCATTCCAACCTCTTTCATAAGCAATTCGTGCATCATAAAAAGTAAATCCTTTTTCCATTCAGGTTTTGACTTCTTGTTTTTTTTCTTCTTGGTATTCTCTCATTTTTCTTGTTTCTTCATCGTTCGGTCAGCGGGCAAAAGTAGTTATTACACCTTGATAAAACTGTTCATTTTCAGTTATTAAACGATTAAATTTGGGCATAGTTGGGTCAAGCAAACTTAAAATATCATTGCCGAAGATTAATTTACCCGCCTCTTTGGTGTAGTGGTTTCTAATTTTTTGCTTAAAGTCGTGAATTTTTGTATCTAATTTGTAACCAATAGAAGATTGAAGAGCATTATTAACCCTTTCCCGGATAACGTTTTTAAAGTCAGCGTCTTTGAAGGCAGTAAATTCTGTTTTCCTTTTAATAATAAAGCCTCCTTCAAGTTTATCGTCCTTATAGGTATGTGCCCCGGGTTGTGAATTTTGGGCAATATTTTCCACAGTTTTATCTACTAACTTGTTGATTAAATCAATTGCGTGTTCATCGCCTTGGTTGGTTAAGCGAATAAAGGAAATTACTGCTTCAAGTTCTTTTCTTTCTGTATCCAAATCTATTCCTTTTACTATGGAGTTCAAACCTGCTTTTTCGGGGTCAGTTAAAGAATCAGCAAGAGGAAGATTTTCAATAAATTCCTTAGCCGATTTTTCTATTTCGTCGTTTACCATTTTAGCCACAAAATTACTCCGAGCATTAAAGATAATTTTTTTTCGTAATCCTTCCTCTGGTTCGTTAGAAGTAATTTCATTTAAGGAATCAACTAGTTTTCGTAGTTCAATAGTCGCCGGAGCGATATTTTTTCGCCCTAACGCCTCGTCAATAGTTTTAATTTCTTTCTCATAATCGGTTCTGGTAATATCCTCAGTAGCTTTTCAATCTTTAAAGTTATTTTGGCGGTCAATATTCTTTGGACCAAAATTTTTGTCTTGGTCTATTTGTCCTAAAACTCTATCTACTTTGCTAATTGAATTAGCATATAAATTTAAACTGTTTTCATCTTCCTCGCTTAATTCATCTTGGCGACAATCTTCAAATGCTTCATAGTAATAATCAATTTTATTTTTATCGGGGGTGTTTACTTTAAAAAGCCTATTTTCTCAGAAGTCGCTTTCAATGCCTAACTGAGTTGCTAATTGGTTAGTGAAATTTAGGTTTTTTTGGCCTTCTAATTCTACTTCATCTTTATTAATAATTTCTTGGGGTAGAAAACCTTTGTCAGCATAATTTCTAGCTTCTTGGGGTGTGATAATAGGAGTAACCGAATTTGTGCTTGCTTGGCAAAGGGGCAATTTATTTTCTCAATTAAGTCTTTCTTCTGCATTCGGAAAATTTGTTTCTCATTCGCTAGCCGATTTTCCAATAATCCTTAGATGATTATGAGCGGGTCTATTTTTGATTTCAGAAGGTTTTCAGCCTTGGTTAAGGGCAGCACAGGCTTTGCGGGGGGAATAACCCATTTCCATTCAATTTCTAGCATGCTCGTTTTTGTCTTTGATTGCCCTATTTCATATTCCAAAACCTTTATCTCCTGCTTTTTCTTTAATAGATTCTGCCAGATGGGTAAGGTAAGTATCAACTTTATTTTCGCCTCCTTTAAAGACAAAAAAACTGGAAGGGTCGTCCGGGGTAAAGGAAACTAGTAAGTCATTAAATTCAACTTTAATTTTCATTTCCTTTTTCATTTCTTCTCTTCATTGGTCTTCTTTTTCCTTTAAGGCACGAACATAGGCCAAACCGTGTACTGAGGAATAAGATTTAGCAAAATTTCTTGCCAGATTATTGATTTCGTCTTCTATATCCTGATTTGCTTTTAATAATGCTTTTCGGAACTCTTCTATTGAAGCAGCATTCTCTAAAACTGCTCGGTAAGTATAAAAGCCACCTAAATTTCCTACTTTAACTTCCTTAGCACTTCAACCAGCGTTTCAAACTTCGTAAGTTTGGGCGGGATTGGTTAATTTTTCTTGGTAAGGAAGAATTAGGTCTCGGTCAGGCAAGCCTTCAATTTCTCCGGTTAAACTTCTTCCCTTGCCGGTTTTTTCGGTAAATATTTTGGTAAAATTGGTAAAGTAATTTTCATTTTTTTTAGTGGAAATATCCTCCGTAATCCTTTGGATAGCGATTAAAATTTCCTCGGAATTTTTTCAAGAACGGTCAGTATTTTTTAACGCTCCTTCAAAATTGCGGTTTTCTGCGGCTAAAATGTTTCTATTAAGACCCGAGGCTCTAAGTAGATTAGTTAAATTACCCACCAATTTTAGATAAACTTCGCTCTGAATGGTTTTTATTTTTTCTTTTCGGGCTTCACCCTCGGCGGCCAAAAAGGAGTTTTTTCAGTTTATAATATCTTCCTTTTTAAGGGTAATCCCCGGCGTTTTTTGCACGATTTCTAAGTTATTAAATTTAGAAATTACATTTTTTATTTCCTCAATTGGTTCAAAAGATTTTTGTTTTTTTTCATTGGTAATGAAATCCTGGGCGGCGGCTAAACTAGCAAACTCTCGGCAAAAAACATTTGATCCAAATTGAGGAGTAAGATAAATACTAGAGTCGTAATGCTCATGTTCTAAGTATTTTTCTAGGGTTTCTTTATTCAGGGCAAAATATTTTTCTCCTCCCGCTTCAAATTCGTCGTTAACCAGAAACAAATATTCTAATTCCTCTATTGTTGGGTTTTCTACTCTTTTGGCTAAAACTTTTGCTTTTAGTTCAGCGGAAGGAATATAAGTGTGATTGAATGGCTCATAATATTCCAATGGCTTATCTACAATTATTCTTAAGGCTGCAATTACTCTTGTTTGCAGTTCCCTTTTTGTTCGTTCTATTTCTGCTTGCCGTGCGGACGAATGGTTCTCGTTTTCTAACTCTAAATTTAAATTTACAATTTGATCTTCAATTTCCTCAACTTCTCGGATAGTTTCTTGCCAAGTATTAATTTGCTCAGCAGTCATTTCGCTACCATCAACATTTCGCACCTGCTTTCCTTGTTTAATAGAATTAAAGGCTTCATCTATTGTGCGGGGCACCTGTCATTTTCCAGGTTGAGTATGCTCTTCATAAGGAGAATATTTTTTTAATCTAATTAATAATCAGTCGCTATCTTTCGGCTCAGGCTGATTTTCAGAACTGGCACTTCCTCAATCTCATAATTCTTCGGCAAATTCGCTTTCGGAGTCCGAATCCTCATCTTCCCAGTTGCTAAAATCAGGCGTAATAGTTTTATGGTTGAGTAAATTAATTAGGCGGTTTTTTTCTTCGTCTAAGGTCAAAATAGTGTCTTTATTTTCCAGCCTAGTTTTTCAGTCATTCCCTAATATATTCTCTAAGGTTTTCCCCGCCAATTTAGCCGGATTATCAGTAGCCAATTTTTCTATATCAGCAATGGCCTTTTGTTTAAGGCGAGGCAGATAAATATCTTCAATTTCTTTCGGGCTTTTGGCTACATATTCGTTGTTTTCCAGTAGTAATAAATTTTCTTCTTCGGTAAAGAAGTTTTCAAATGCTTCGTTAATTAGGTCAATTGTATTTTGTGCTAAACAATTATTAATATATTCTTTTTGTTCCTCACTTAATCCCTCGTCAGCGGCGGTCATA